CAATTCCTATATATATATATATATATATATATATATATATGTTATGAATATTATAAACATGCAAAGAGAAAAAGAACATTGTAGGGATCACATGCTTATTTCTTACATATAAATTTTGTATAGGCATGAATCATAAGGTTTAATTTAATGTAATTGTGAAAAATTCAACATACCTCTTTTCCTTCATCTTGTTGAGAAAATCAACTCACAAATAAGTTACATGTAGAGAGGTGGAGGAGGAACAAAATGGGATAATTTTTTGTTAGTAAGGACGTCATCCATTATATCTCCTATATGGATGCCCTCAACAAAATGGGATAGTCAAGCAGAGAAATAGAAACATTCTCAAAGTTACTCGTTCCCTTATTTTTCAAGCTAATGTTCCTCAACATTTTTTGAATGAGTTTGTCCTTACCACCACCCATCTATATCTAATTAATAGTGCCCACAAAGTTCTCAAACTTTTGGTCCCCATTATCCGTCTTGAAGTCATGTTTTCCTACCAATCGATTTTTCTCCGTATTAGATTCCAAAATATGGTCTTTGAGCAAAACACTATCCTGACTCATAGTAAACTTGATACCCACTAAATTAAAGGTTTTTTGTCTGTTGTTCTGCCACTCAAAATAGTTATCACTGTCTTGATCCTACCACCAATGAAATTTATATTAGTGTTGACGTTATCCTTTTTTGAAAATGTCCACTTCTTCCCTAAATCTACCTCATCTGAGAGAGAACTTGATTTTTTGGGCATTGTTCTTTTTTCGACTATGTTGTACATTCTTCCTAGTTCTACGACCATTACGTCAGATGCACCTTTAGTCCCACTGGGTTTACCACTAGCCAGCCCAAAATCACCACAATCATCGATTGGTGCCTATACTTGTCATACAAAACCCTATACTGAGACTTATCCCAATGACCTTATCATCAAGCCCACTGCCCAGCTGCAGCTCTTCGAGTCTAATCCTGTCAATGTCCTTGGAACGAGGCTCTCTCAACTTACGAGAGTCACTCCTTATCTGAGTGAAGATTTTAAGCCCCCAATTGAGGTATGCAAATAGGTACGACCAACACTCTTTATATCCCATTGCAAAATATGTCTCTTTGCACAACCTATCTCCGACCTACAAAGCATTTGTCACATCCTTGATAGAATGTTTTCTTCAATCCACTATTGAGGCAGCTTTGGTTGACCCGTACTAGAAGGCTGTTGTCAAGGACTAGATGAATGTCCTTCGGCATAACCATACTTGGGACATGGGGGAAAGAAAACAGTAGGTTGTAGGTAGATTTTTAGTGCCAAATTTAACCATGATGAATCCTTGATCTCAAAAAAGCTTGGTTGGCAAAGAATATTCGCAAATTTATGGAGTTGACTATAAAGAGATGTTTGCTCCGATATCATTCGGGTTTTGTTATCCCTAGTCGTGAATCTAAATTGGCCATTACTTCTATTGGTTGTTTGTTGGGTATTCTCTTTAGAAGTTGGTGTTAGTTATCTACTCTTCTTCCTCAGCCTCGCCACTCTCTTCCCCCTTCAAATGAAGAGAGGGATTCTATTCATAGATTTTTGAGGGATTATCTTGGTCATTAGAGAAAAACTTCCTTAACCACCACGTCAGGTTGATTCTTTTGATGATAAATTATTTTATCATTATTTAATTATCTTTGTGATATCAAAATTGAATATTATCGGGCTCATTAGATTTCTCTCGTCAAGACGCCAAATTTGATTATAAGTATGTCAAATTTAGAACTCATTTAGCTCTCCATTTTATGTTCCAAGTTTCAATTACGCATTAATGCTTGATATGGGCTTAATTGAATTTGTCTAAACCCCTTTTCGTGTAACTGTATTGTCTTATAATAACACTCAGTTTGATTATCAACTTTTTGAAATTACAGATTGGAAGATTAAGATTTTGAATTTAGAAAAGCTCTTGCCCAAAATGCATCAAGATTAAATGGCACCTTGACGTCCTCCTCTTTTCAAGAAATCATATTGTCATATAGAATGAAAGAAGTAATAGGTCTAAAAGGACACATTTGGTTTGATGCAAAAAAAAAAAAAAAAAAAAAAGTATTGACATTGAAATGAATGTGCACAAATAAATTTGTTAGAACTCATCATATATAGTGAAGAACCATGATAAGTTATCATAAAAATTTAATATGTAGGTGTAAAATTTTCCCATAAATATTATATTATTGTTCTTGATTAATATGAGCTCAGAAAATGTATTAGTGTCAAAATTTGTGGGCTAACGAAGCCTCTTCAATATTGCACCTACGCCAATTCATCTCTCTCCCTCCCCACTTGCGCTCGGGCCGCTCCTGCATTGCCTCTCCTATGCTACGCCTCCACGTGTGCTCGGTTGCTCCCACATTGTCTATGCTATGCTACGCCCACGTCAATTCATCTCCCTCCCTCCCCACTCGCAGGAGCAGCCAAGTGCGAGTGGAGATGGAGAGATGAGTTGGCGTAGGCGGAGCATAGGAGAGGCAATGCGGGAGCAGCCACCCTCGAGTGGAGGGAGAGAGAGGAATTGGTTTATTATAACATATGATAATAACATATTATAAAAAAACCAGCTTTACTGAAATCATTCCCGTCACCCTAGTGGATGTAGGCATATAAGCCCTTGCCAGTAAAACATATACAAGCCTAATGATACAAAAATAGAATATTTACATTCATGCCTCTAAATTCCTATGCATTTACATATACAACACCTAAAACTTCCAATTTTTACGTACATTCCACCTTACACATGAATGAATATATATATATATATATATATTTCACTTTTTTTAAAATAAAAATAATTGTATTTTATATTCGAAATGAAAATTTTGATTGGTATAAATGTAAAAAAGCAAAATGTTGGTGTGAGATATAAAAATGCATTGGAATTAAGTGGCATGAATGTAAATGCCCCCCTCATCCTTTTCCTTGGCCCCCTTCTATAAATATAATGAAGGTTGATTATTTTTATTATTTTGAGTGTCAAAAATGTAAATTAAATGAAGAAGGGATGCAATTGTTAATGTACTTCTATATTGTAATATTAATATATCATAATAATATATTATTTAAAATATCATCTAAACTACAGACCCAACGGAAAAAGGCCAATTTTCGGAACTAACACAATTGGAAAATTCTTTTTTTTTTTTTAATTTTAATTGCACTTTAAAAACAACTCTTAACTCTTAAATAAAAACTGAAGAAAAAAAAAAAACCACTAAAAATATTACAATGTATTTACATATCTACCACATAAACTTCACCTTTTTACACTTTAACGCGTTGCATAAAAATATCATTACATGTCTCTTAAAAAGTGAAATACGTATTTTCATGCAAAGATAAGGTAGCATATATGTAAAAATTTTGAAGTTCAAGTGTTAGATATCTAAGTACATGTCTTCTTCTACATGTCCTTGATTGGCCATATTATTATTGTGTGTAAGCCTGGTTGTGTTGTTCAAAGTTCACTCAAAGCTTTGGAGTAGCACTGAAAGGAGCTCAAGAGATGCAATGGAAGGGAGTCGAAAGGGCTGAAGTTGGGCACTCAAACACCCATAGGGACGCCCGGCCAAATGCTCGAGAACCCAAGCGTTTGGAAAGGCAACGCCTATGAGGAGCACAACGGTGCCTTGAAGGCTGAAGTGCGTTTTTAGCATTCCAGAAACAGAACGTCTGAGAACGCGACGCTCCGTACAGGCAATACAGCGCCAAAAACAATTCAGGTGGTTTAGGCATTTAAGTCTTCAATACATAATTTGGATTACCCTCTCGGCAAAGCATGAACAAAATAGTGAAAAGCGGTGCATGTGAATTGTGAGTAGATCTCTGCATTTTGCTCTCATGTGATCGATGAAGGAGCCTTCATGAGTTACAGGATTGTAGAGAGAATTTAAATGTAGTGTAATATGTACATTTTTTTTCTCTTTTCATGCTGAATTTCTTAGTATGGTGTTGTTCCAAGGTTTTTTCCCGTTTATGGCTTTTCCACATTAAATTTTTGTGTTCTTTTCTGAGATTTTTTTGTTTGTACTTCTCTTGAATTTGTTTGTTCCGGATCTATCGAATCTGTATTTTCCCACAAGTTCTAGAAAGTTGAAAATGTTTATAACAAGTGGTATCAGAAGCTGACAAAACAAAGTACAAGATTGAGAAGTTCAACGGTTCAAAATTTGAGTTTTGAAAAATGATTGAAGAATTATTATATAAAAAAAAAATTGTATTCGTCGCTGGAATAAATCACTAAAAAACCTGAATCGATGACTTTGGAAGAATGAGAATTTCTTAATCAAACAACACTAGGTTCCTCTTTCGTTGCTTCAAACGTTATGAATGATATAACTACGGTGAATTTCATGACTTCACTAACAAGGATGTATGAGAATCCCTAAGCTTCAAATAATCTTTTTCCAACAAAGAGATTGTTCAATATGAATGATCATGGAAGGCAGTTTAATGGATAAACATTTGAATAATTTCAATATTGCAACAACCAGTTGTGTTATGTGATTACTAGTTTGATGACGAGGTCAATGCACTATTAATCCTATCTTCATTGTCAGATAATTGGGATAAATTAGTCATGACTGCAAGCAAGGCAATATGAATATAGACTTTGATTACATTATGAGGTTAGTGATGAATGAAGAAGTTCGCAAGAAGGTGAGCGATTGAACTTCAAATTCTGCTTTGAGTTTTGAAAACAAAATAAAGAAAGAATATTGATATAAACACGGGCAGAGACAAATTCAAGTATATAAGAGAAAATTCAAGTCATGGTGAGGAAATAACAAAGGTGAATGCTAGAACTGCATGAAGAAATGTCATTTCAAGAAAAATTGCAAAACTCCAAAAAAGGTTGGTGGTGGAGATCAACATCGAAAGCTCTTTACAAATATCTCCACAGATGAAATCCAAGATGACTCCTTTTTTTTTGTCCATAGATAGTATAGAATCTTGAAAAGTAGAATCAAGTGTCTCTTTTCATGCTTGCCTCGACAAATAAGTGTTTAAAAACTACGCTCATAGTGATTTAAATAAGGTGCATTTGGAAGATAATAAGGCATGTAGCCTTATTGGAAAGAATAATGTTGATATTAGGTTGTCAAATAGATTAATCTAGAAGCTCACCGAAGTTAAACATGTTACATGTTTAAAAGAGAAATTTATTCTCATTGTGACAGCTTGCAAGAATGTGGCTACACTCATAGGTGATTCGTGAAAAGTGGTCGGAGAGGCAAGGTGATGACTCGGGACAATATTGAAGGCATTTTCTACTTGATTAATGAGATTATTGAATTTATTAATGTAGTTGGAAAAAAGATTGATGCAGGTCTTTAGTACTAAAGGCTTAATGCGAGCGAGAAATATATTAAACCCTATTTCCTAAAAATAAGCTTCAAGATTTAAAGTCTATAAAGTTAAATCTTTGCGAAAAGTGTGTCTATGAAAAGCAAAAGAATGTTGCTTTATCGAAAAGTGGGTCAACGATGAAGCTTAAAAAGTTGGAGTTAATGTAAACAGATAAATGTGGTCCTGCTCCAAATCAATCTATTAGAGGTTCCCATTATTTTGTTAATTTCATTGAAGATCACGCCAAAAAGGTATAGATATATTTCTTAAAGAATAAATTAGATGTATTAGATGTAATTAAGAAGTGATAGACCGTGATTGAGAATGAGACAGTTTTTTGAGGTTGAAGTGACTCATCAGATAATAGTGAAGAGTATCATGATTAGAGGTTTGAGAGTTATTGTGCTTAGAAGGAATCAGACATGATTTCACTATTCCAAGAACACAACAACAAAATGATGTAGCTAAGCACGTGAATAGAATCATCACAAAACATGAAAGAAGTATGAGATTACATGCATGCTTGCCAAAACAGTTCTGAACAGAAGCAGTTAACAATACATTTTATCTAATAAATAGTAGTATGCCAGTACCTTTGAATGAAAGGTTATCTAAAAAAGTCTAGAGTGACAAGGAGATAAATCTATCTCACCCGAGAATATTTGAGTGTTAAGCATATGTTCATGTTGATGCATGATCTAAAGTAAGCTTGATTTGAAATATGTCAATTACACTTTCATTGAGTATGACTCAGAAGAATTTGACTATAAATTATAGAATTTTTATCAAAAAAAGGGACATGAATTTTAATGAAATAATAATGTACAAAGGCAGGAGCATAATTCAAGATTTTTCATCAATTGCTTATGAAGAGTTCTCCAAATATGTTGAAATAGAAGATACTGATGATCGCCATGATAGAGAAATGAGAAGTGTTCAATCTGATGAAGCACGTGAAATTCCTCTATTACCTACTACTAAAGTCGGAAGGTTTAGTAGAGTCACATGATCGATACAGATATATTTTCCTTCTTTATATTATCTTTTGCTAATTGATAGTGGTGGACGAGGGTGTTATAAAGCGACCACTCGAGTTAAATACTCAAAGGAGTAGGATTTTGTCATGGAATACGAGATGCATTCTGAAGTCAAATTAGACTTGAAATTTGGTTGAATCACCAAATGGTAAAAAGACACTGCACAACAAGTAGATTTACAAACTGAAAGAAGAGTCGGATACTAGCAGGCGCTAGAGGCAAGGCTTATTGTGAAAGGTTTTTAGTAGAAGGAAGAAGTGGAGTACTCAAATATATTTTCTTCTGTATTAAAAATTACGACTATCAGAGTTGTGTTGAACTTGGTAGCAAAGAAAGATCTACATATAGAGTAGATGGGTGAAAGAACATATTTGTTACATGATGAGTTGGAAGAGGAAATGTATGTAGTGCAACTATAGGGACATGAAGTTCCAGGAAAAAAAAGACATGATCTGTAGACTGAAGAAGAGTCTTTATAGTTTAAAACGGGTCCCAAGATAGTGGTATAGAAAGTTTTACAGATTTAAGTTAGATGGTGGGTACTTGAGGTGCCAAGTAAACTACTATTGTTTCATCAAATATTTTTGTAATTATTATATTGTGCTTATATTGTATGCAGATAACATGTTGATTGTTGAAAGAAATATGAAAATAATCAGAGACTTGAATGAGCAATTATCAAAGGAGTTTGAGCCGAACGATTTAGGTCCAACCAAGAAGATCCTTGATATGGGATTAGTACGGAAATGAGTGCAGGTACTTTGAAGTTATCTCAGGCATAATATGTTGAGAAAGTCCTATAAATATTCATCGTGAGTGAGGCAAACAAGTTTGCACTCCCTTAGATAGTCACTTCAAGCTATTTAAGAAAAAATAGCTTAAGTTTGAAGCAGAGCAAGCAAAAATGAAAAGAATCTCTTACGCTTCGATTGTTAGAAGTTTTAAATATATAATGATATGCACGAGATTAGATATTACACATGCAGTAGGAGTGGTCAGTAAGTACATGAGTAATCTATGAAAGTATCATTGGGATGCGATAAAGTGGATTCTTGGATACTTGAGAGGAACAATCAACAAGACATATCATTTAGTAAATTTCAAGATTCTTGAGAGTATGTCAGTGTAGTGTAATGTGTACATTTTTCCTCATTTCATATTAAATGTCTTAGTATAATGTGGCTTCATGAGTTTTATCCGTCCTCGGGTTTTTTCATGTCGCATTTTTTGTTCTATTCTGGATTTAATTTTTGTGTGTTTTTGCTCTATTTGTTTATTTCGGGTCTCTCAAATTTGTATTTTTCCGTAAATTATGGGAAGTTGAAAGTTCTCCCAACACATTTGCTTCTTTTCTATGAGAAATGAGATAATGAAACAAAAAAAAGTCTGAAAAACCTTAAATAGATGTTGAGGAATTATATCAACAAATAGATTATTAGGATTACATGTGGTTTTACAAATAAAGTCTAGGAATTTTACTATTGATGTTCACCATCTGATTCAGGAACCAAAGGCATATGAGGTATGACAGAACCAACATTATCTCCAACCTTATATCGACTTTCCGAATGCAATTGTTTTTGCCTCTTTATAAGACGATAAGCAGTTCGGCGATCGCTCTGAGCTTCCTCATTAGAAGGCTACATAAATTCGTGAAAAATATGAATTAGATTACTGCAATCAAAAACTCATTTAGAATGGTTGCATCTGTCTATAAAACAGAAAAAGTATCAAAATAGTCCTCTAAATTTTTGTATGGAGTTATTTTAGGCACAAAGTCTATAAAAATGTCAAATTAGTTCTCAAATTCTTTTAATAGAGATTTAAATGGTCCTCCATGGGATCATTCAAGTTTTAACCTATATTAAAGGACTCTGAGGACTAATTTGACAATTTTATAGACTCTAGGACTAAAATGATCTCATATAAATAGTTAAGGGGCTATTTTGACACTTGTCTAGAATTTTAATGAGAAAAATAGATTTTTTAGAAGTTGCTATGATATATTAGATATTTTTCTCTTCTAAAAAGTAAGATCTCAGCTTTCTTATGACAGCCACACTCTATCAACAAGTTAGAGGTGAGAAGAAAATTTATGATTCATTTGGGGTTAGGTTTTTTGCTGTTTTGCTTTTCAACCATCTCTGCATTTCTGTTTGGCTATTAATTTATATTTAATTTATAAAAAAAAATTTGATGAAATGCAACTTTTTATAATCAAATCTATCAGACTCACAACAATAAAAAAGTTACCATCTATTTTTAAAGAAAAAAAAATTATAATACCTATAACAACTTTCAAAAAAGCTGCTTTTACCACAGCAGATCTACAACCATACTTATGGACTCTCACTCAAATAAAAGTATGATGGTCATCTGGAAAAAAAATTAAAAAAAGCTGTCTAAAACAGATACCCATTTATAACAGAATTCAGAAATCTGCAAGAAGCATATTTCCCTTTAGGGACATTTACATAAAAACCACACAATTCTTATGTATTTACATATCTAACAACTAAACAATCAGATTTACATGCATACCAATCAAATTTTTAACATCTAATAAAAAAGAAACCATCATCATTACCTTCCTAAAAGTGAAATACACCATTTCATGCATAAGTTTATAAAACAAAGTTTTTTATGTGTAAGCATCAAACTTTAGAAGTTAAATATATAAATACATAAAGAATTGTGTGGTATGTATGTAAAGTTCCCTTCTTTTTATAATTTTAAAGTAGTTAAGCGTGTACCTGAATCAACAGAGCTTTGTCAAAGCTTTCAATTGCCATACCAGGTTCTCCAAAATTTAATTGTGCCCTGCCAAGTGTGATCCAAGCCTGAGAAAAGTAAACCAACGACGAGATTAAATACCTGTTAAATAATCTCATTTAAATATAATTAAAAATTCACCAATAAACCACTAGATTTTCTACTATGAATTAGCTACAAATTGAATTGCATAGAGATGTGGCTTATTAACAAACTTCAGACCAAGCAGGTTCCAGTTCTGTAGCCCCTGAAAAGTAAGACCAAAAAAAAAAAAGTTGTTTAAGTTGATATTTAGGCGATTTATAGTATTTTTCTATTTTGATCAAAAGAAGCAAATTCTGCCTAAATTACAAGAATATCAGCCGTGAATCTAATTTTTATGCAAGTGCTATTTTGCATCATATCCTAAAACATTAGATAAACTGCATCAAATGGGAGCACAACTAAGTTGATAAAACTTTCTATCTAACTCCTTTAAATGGTGATTTGCCAGAAATAGTTCGGACGGCGAAACATGACTCTTAGAAGCACTCCAGATTATTTCACAACAAGGTTCTAATTCATGTCCCTAAGCTTGATGTTAAAATAAATGAAGGAGTTTTGTTAGGCTATAATCATGAAAAATTTAGATACATATAAACTTTGGGACCTTCTTAACAATAAATTATTAAGTATATACCGCTAAATTCATATTTATTTACATATCTAACATCTAAACTTTACTTTTTACAATTATACCATCCAAATCATTCGTATCACATAAAAAATACCAGTATTAAGTGAAATACAACTTTTTATGCATAGACAAGGTGGCGTTTATACAAAACTTGAAGTTTAGATGTTAGATATGTAAATAGATTAGAATTAAGTGGTATGTATGTAAATCAATTATTTTGGTCAAAGATGGTCTTACTGCTTGAGATTGGTGCACTAGTCACTTTTAAGAATCCGCTAGAGAGCACTAATTTTAAAATAAAGAGCATAGTGTTAAAAAAAGTCCCCTAATTAATTACATGGGGTCATTTTAGTCTCAGAGACTACAAAAGTGTTAAATTAGTCCATATACTCTTTAAATTGGTGCTAAAAATAATCCTATGTGGGTATTATTTCAAAACTCTTTCGACACCAATTTAAAGGGTATGGAGGCTATATTGACACTTTCATAAACTTTGGGACTAATATGACTCCATACAAAGAGCTGGGGGATTATTTTAACGCTTTATCTTAAAATAAATATTCTTTAAATGATGGAGATGAGCCAGAGAAAAAATACTTAATAGAACCAAAAGAAAGAAAAAAATATAGTAGCTATAAAATCGAAAATGCAATCACTTCATGTGAATCATACCATTGAGTTGGTCAGGTTTAAAGAGAAAATAAGCTTTGAAGGACAGGTGGGTGTATAGATTGAAAATCGACGAAAATAACTTGAATCCAATTCATAAAATAAAATTTATTGTGGAAAGTTTTGTTCAAAAGTAAGGTTCTGATTTTAATTGTCTTCTTATGAAAGTTATGAAAATTAACATACACACCACATAATTCTTATGTGCTTACATGTCAACACCTAAAGTTTGATATTTAAATTTATAGCACTTTGGTATTATAAATCTATGTATGGAAAGGTCTATTTGGCCTTTAAAAAGTTAATAATAGTGGCATTTTTTATGTGATGTTAAAAATTTGAGTGGTATAAATATCAAAGTTTAGGTCTTATATATGTAAGTATATAAGAATTATGTGATATGTATGTTAATGCCCCTAAAATTTATAATTGTTTACTTGCAAGTATGAGCTAGGAGATTGAATAACTTAATGTAAAGACCACTCTACTTTATGGTGACTTGGAGGAGGGGGTTTATATTGGGCAATAGCATTGTTTCAAAAAAGAAAAACTAAAAGATTATGCAAGTGAAGAAAGAGTCTATATTTTTTAAAACATATCATGGTGGTGCATGAGTATAAGAAAACCTCTTGGTATAGTACCATCAAAAGATATTTGATAATAGTGACATTATTCTTCTATTTTATGTGGATGTTAGCTTGATGTCGGTCGTGATGCTAACAAAATTGATAAGTTGAAGAAAGAGATGAAAATATAATTTGTAATGAAAGAGAAGGGTTGACATCCACTATCATTGTAATGAAAATCTCTCGAGGCAATAAACATGGAAAGTGATTATTCTTATGGGATAATTGTAAATATGAACGAGGCTAATAGTGAGCTCTCCTCAACGCTTTAAGCTAAATTCAAATGTATGTACTGAAAGCAAGGAAGAAAGAAAAACATGAAAAATATTTCTTTGTACTTCAGATATTGGCAATTTGATGTACGTGTCGGCCAACTTTTCGATTGATTTATTTGAAAATATGAATATGAAAATAATTTTTTGGCGATTTAATTTAAGTATAAGAGGTATGTGGTTTAGGTTTTGAAATTAGTATGTTTTAATTTTTTTTTAAAATGAGACCAAATGGATCTCATTCGTCCAATAGTTTGCATAATCGTGTCTGACACCCTGAATACTACACATTCCAAGAGAAAAATGTAGACCCCGATAATGGGCCTAATCCTGCAAACAAAGAGATTTGTGACATTCATTTGGTCTGCGAACCTTTTATATATGACCGACAAATTCCCCTATTTAATACAAAGATTAAATAGGGTTTATTTTACCTGGGTTCCAAATTCCCTATAGAGGCAAGCCCCTATAGTTAATTACATCCCAAGTGACGGGAATCACTTGAGAAAACTCTCGATAATGATCAATGGTTCTAGTCTTCAAGAATTCAAGGTTCAGGTTTTCAAGGTAGGATGAGAAAAATCAAGTGGGAATGGCAGAACAATCCTTTCAGGAGTTTTCAGGAGTTCAAAGAAAGTAAAAGGTAGGGGATGTCACAGATCCAGAGGGGAATCCTTAGTGACCTCTCAAACTATCCTACTGTGTGGCTGTGTTTTAGAGGATTTTATTTGAATGTTAAATCCTATCAATTTTATTAGTTAGGACTTACATTTGCATAATAACTGGATATGCAAATAACCCGCAAATATAAGAAGTTTTACGTCATTCTAGATGACAATCTCGGAACCTAAGACGAGTTAGGACTTACGCTGCACAACATAGCTGTGCAGGAGGCTAAAAGAGAGAGGAATTATGTTGCGCTAGGCGAGCTACCTCGAAATCCTATGGGTTGTTTAAACTAGGAAAGTTCAATTGGTGTAGACTCATTTTGCTGTAGTAGAATGACGACCATCTCCGCCTGTAGTTCGCTCCAAACTCCTTGTCGTGCTGCCCACGAAGTTGCTCCGAGCTCCTCGTCGCAGTAACAGTTTTAAAGTCTAAAGCTCAAACAGTTTTACCAGGTGGGTTTCAATGTCTCAATTTGGTTGTCAATTGGGGGGGGGGGGGGGGGGGGGGGGGGGGTTCAAGTTGATTAGAGCGACACCGGTTAGGATCCCACGGTTCCCTCCTTCCGGTATCATTATTTTCTTTTGAACTTATTTAGTTTAAACGAGTTGTTAAACTCATTTAAACCGGGGAGATCTCGTTAGCAACCGTGAGTTACCTCCTTCGAGGGACTCCCGTAAGTTCTAAAGAACGTATTATGTTTTTTTTTTTTTTTGAAAATGTTGTTTAATTTTTTTTTTAAAAAAAATTTGTTTTGAAAGTGAGGTTGTATTCAGTACCTACATAATGTGTTAGAGCAATAGTAATTGCAATAAAGAAACAACAACAAATAAAATGTACCTGCGTACGTGGCGCCTGCACTATATGATAAGGAAATTGCATTGTGTTGAAGTATTGCCAACAAAAAGCAATAAGAATAGGAGAGTGATAGGAGGTGAGTGTGAAGTTTAAATAAATTGCAGAGAAAAGAAGAAAAAATCAGTAAACAGTTGAACAAGTTGTAGTAACAGCTAGGAACTCAAAAGAGGTGATCCTCATGCCTCCTACAACTTCTGACTGCAACTAGCGAGCTAGTACGGTGATCCTACGATATCCTACGACTTCGGTAAACAACTAGCGAATGTGTACGGCGATCCTACGACTCCGGACAGCAGCTAGGAGTTTCGAATGACGCCTGTATGAGTTCCTATGAACCCAAACAACAATGGGCAACACCTATGTGGTTTCCTACGAACCCGAACAGAGGTGGACAACAACTAGATGGACAGCTACTAGGTGGCTTCCTACGAACCCAAATCGGGGTGGACAACTCCTAGGTGGCTTCCTACGAACCCAAACGGTGGTGGACAGCTACTAGGTGGCTTCCTACGAACCCAAACGGTGGTGGACAACTATTAGGTGGCTTCCTACGAACCCAAACAGTGGTGGACAGCTCCTAGGTGACTTCCTATGACATCTGACAGCGATTAGGAGCATTGGGCAGCACTCTATAACCTTCCTATGAACCCAAATCGTGGTAGACAGCTACTAGGTGACTTCCTACGAACCCAAATCGGGGTGGACAGCTCCTAGGTGGCTTCCTATGAACCCAAATCGTGGTGGGCAACAACTAAATGGTTCCCTATGACACTGGGCAGCAAATAGAAGTATTGGACAACGGTTCTACAGCTCTTATAGCTCGGGGCAGCAATTAGGAGCGTTGGACAGTGATCTTACAGCTTTCTACGACACTGGGCAGCAACTAGAAGGTTTTCTACGACACTGGGCAGCAAATAGAAATATTGGACAACGGTCCTACAGCTCTTACAGCTCGGGGCAGCAATTAGAAGCGTTGGACAGTGATCTTACAGCTTTCTACGACACTGGGCAGCAACTAGAAGGTTTTCTACGACACTGGGCAGCAAATAGAAGCATTGGACAACGGTCCTACAGCTCTTACAGCTCGGGGCAGCAATTAGAAGCGTTGGACAGTGATCTTACAGCTTCCTACGACACTGGCCAGCAACTAGAAGGTTTTCTACGACACTGGGCAGCAAATAGAAGCATTGGACAACAGTCCTACAGCTCTTACAGCTCGGGGCAGCAATTAGAAG